GACCTGCAGCTATGCTCAGCTCCCCACCAGAAGATCATCCACTCTGTCTACTGCAGAGCCTCGTGTTACTCTCCACACGGGAAGTAAGGAAACTGAATTTTCATTAGACATGGGAGCTGCTGTCTCTGTATTGACCCAAAATCTAGCCTACTTTCTAGTAGTGACTCAATAGTCATTGAGGTTCTTAGAAAGCCCAGCCATGGAGTTGATTCAACTCAGAGCGATCCTGCACAGGGTTTTTTTAAGGGAACTGAATGCCTCATCTTTCTCCCGCATAATGGGAGTTCCAAAATGCTGACTTTGAGGTTAGCAGCCCAACCCATAACCTCTATGCTACCAGAGTTCCTTTGTTGTTGTTGTTGTTGTTAAGTGCTGGTGAGCCAGTTCTGAACCAGGGCGACCCTATATAGGGTTTCCGAGGAGCAGCTGATGAGCTTGAACCACCGATCTTGAGGTTCAAACCGACTTTGCAGTCCAGCTCATTCATTAACCCACAGTGCCACATCAGAGCTCCTTTAGGGAATCAATATGTTTGTGAGCCTCTGTGTTAGACCATTTGCTGGCAGACAGGGTAAAGTACGTGCCTAGTCTAGTATCTGTTACACTTACATTAACACCGCAAGTGAAGTAAGCTGTTGTTGTTGTTGAGTGCATTCGTAAATACCGTCAAGTCAGTTCTGACCCATAGCGAAGCCTGTATCGGGTTTCCAAGGAGTGGCTGGTGAACTTGAACCACTGACCTTGCTGTTCAAACTGACTTTGCTGTCCTGTGCATTGGCCTACAGTGTCACACTACGACTCCCATGAAGTGAGATTGGGGCCTTATACATCCTACAGTAGGAAAGAAGAAAGACAGCCTAGTCTCAGATGAGCCAAAATATGGAACCTTCAAATCCTATGTTTTTGTGAGACCCTTGGTAGGTATTGTCTTACTATTAATCTTTGGTCCATATGTGGTCAGTATACTAGTTACATTTGTGTCCTCAAGATTGCATCAGTTTCTAACTAAGTTTATGGTCATTCAAAGTTTCCAGCCAATCCCAAAGGAAAAGATGCTGGAGGCATACAAAATATAAGAGCAGTCAACGAGAGATTTCAACTCTGTCATATAGGAACTATGAGGGACCCAATTCAACATGAAGACAATGCAGAAGAAAAGAGACCTCCATCCAAGGTTCCATAAAGAATTATAAGTGTGATATCTCTCAAGAAGGAGATGAAATACTGGGGAAAAGGAGTCCAGAAATCAGGATTCAACATGTTGATATTGTTGCTAAGCGCCATCGAGTTAGTTTCAATCATAACGACCCTGTATGTTTGAATCTTGTGGTTCAAACTGACTTTGTGTACCAGTCAGTGCTTACCATACTGAGTCACACCAAGATTAAATACGAGTCATTTTTTAATTTAAATCTTGTAACTGAAGTTTTGAGGACTAGTGAGGCCTATGCCCCACCTTCGTTTGGCATTTGTAAAGATGTGCAGGACATGCCCAGGGCCATAGTTGAGCAACCACAACCTGGGATATACCATTGAGAAAGACCATGCATAATAATTCCATATTTTCTAGAACTTGCCAATAAGGAAGACCACCATAAATATTTTGTAGTTTTACTTCCTTGTGAGATATTTTACAGGTTGAACGGCTTTATCTACTGTCCTGTTGTTATTGTTAAATGCCATAGAGTCAGTTCCAACTCATAGTGA